AAGATGTAACGGTGCATGAGAACAGCGGTAGCTGGGAAAAGGGACAGACAGTCGAACCAGACCCGGCAGCTGATCAGCTAGAGAAACTCGTTGTTTCAGTCAGCCCTCCTGTCGGCGCGGCAAATAGAGGCACAAGGGCTTGTAATTGATTTAGTGACACGTCTTCCTGGAGAGTCGAGGTTTGCTCGTATATGCTTCCTCGGAAGATGCTCGGATGCCGGGTCTTTAGCATACGGAACCCAGCGACGTTTGGTTCAGATGGCTTGTGTGTCTGCATTCTGAGGCCCGGCTATCAGTGACGTCATCCTTCATATTGTCAACTTCTATCGCCAACGGTTTTCATCCTCGTCGCTCGCATGGGCAGATCCAGAGAGGAAGGTACGGGGTCATGGGTCCCTTGGGCCCGAAGGGGAGCCCATGGGCTCCGAAAGGGCCCATAGCCGGCCGAACAGACGCATTTTTGCATGGAAGGCAACAAATTTGGATGTCTATGGGCTTACAGGCGAACAATAACAGTCTCAAGCGAAAGTTAGAGGCCCACGAATAGTGAAAAATTATTGTTCGCTGATTGAGAGGGTGGCGATTGGAAGGTCTTAAGAATGCTTACGCTGCCCAGAGGCCCGATGTTTTCGGGGGCCCTATGTGTCCACGTTAGGGATTAACCTTGCCGTTAATGAGCTTTCTACTTTGCCTTTGATTTCTTTGCACTTGCTAGGAGGGCCCTGCGCTGTTGCTGGGCCCTTCCTGCTAGCGTACCAGGGATTACTTTGTCAATCAGGGATCTTCTACGCATTTTTTCCATTCGCCGAAGTGTTCTGTGTGCGATAGAGCCAGAGGGCCTTATATGTTGACATGCCGGGGTATTCTCGATTGCTCAGGGAACATTCACGTTGGTTATGAGTAACGTACCGGTACTCTCACTATATGCTCATGGGCCTCCACATGATCCAGGGCCCTTCCAATTTTCCATCAATTACTGAGGGTCCTACGCTCTTGTCTGGGACCCATCTGTTAACTTACTTGGGCTCACTCGGTCGCTCAGGGCCCTCCAGATTGGGCCTTGGGTATATCCTATTCGAATAGAGGCCCTATGCTCTTGTCAGGGCCTTATCTGCTAGCCTGCTCGGGTGCACTGGATTGTTCGGGGATCCTGCACATTGGGTTTGACATTTGAATTAGGGCCCTGCGTTCCTGTCGGGGCGATTTGATAATCTGCTCGGGCACACTCGACCGTTTGGGGGCCCTCTTCATTGGGGTCTTAGGTGCTTTCTATTTGAACAGAGGGCCCCACCGCTCTTGTCGCAGACCTTATCTGTTAACCCCGCTCAGGCATACTCGGTTGTTTGGGGGTCCTGCATATTGGGTCTTGGGTGTTTTCGTATTTGAATGGAGGGCCTTACGCCCTCTACGGGGGTCTTCGGGGATTGGGGGGCTGTCTTCACTCCGTCCGGGTATTTCTTATCTAAAGGTAAGGCCCTACGCTCTCGTTCGGGTCCCTTTTGATAAACTACTTTGGCACACTTGATCGTTCGGAGGTCATCCACAACGGGTCTTGAGTATTTCCTATTTGAATGGAAGGTCCCACTCTATTGTCGGGGCCCTATCTGGTGGCCTTCCCGAGCACACTTGATCATTCTTGGGCTCTTCATATCGTGTCTTGGGTACTTCTTATTTGAATAGATGGCCGTCTAGTCTGTCGGGACCAACCTACCAAGCTGCTCGGACCAGTGGCGGGTCCAGAGGGGGTAGGGGCACGGAACCGTGCCTCCCTTGTTCCCCGAGGGAATCCATAGGCTCCGGAGGGGCCCATGACCAGGCAAACGGACGCAATTCTCAAACACAAAACACGACAAAATTGGACGCCTTTGAGCCTCCAGACGATAAAGAAGAGTCAAAACCTGAAGTAAAGCCCGTGTGCAGGCAAACTCATCATGTTGTCCAGAGGCGTCACGATGTTAACACACATAGACACCCATATGCACGGGTATCGATTTGTGTTCTTTTGGTTGGGATTCTGCCCCCCGCCCCCCCCCCCCCATGTGCAATCTGCCCCCCCCCCCCCCCCCCCCCATCAACGGCGAGTTTGCCCCCCCCCCCCCCCCAGCCGTCTGGAGCTCAAGCTCCGGTAAGACGTTACAAGTAGAAGCTTGAAATTATATCAAATTTAAAGCAGGCTTGTACAAATTTTGTCACAGGTAAAACAACCAGATAAAATGAAAACTGCGATATTATGTCCAGTTTAGTGCACCGCACTGAGTAAGCCACACTTTAAAAGCTCCGTGGTCGTTCCATGTTGACTTGACATTTTTCTTCTGTTTTTAGGTATACTGCATACTTTTGAATGCGCAATTTATATCTATGGTTGACTATGGTTCAGTTTTGTTCTATTGTGAGAGTGTTATGGAATTATTCCTTGATGCTAAAGATATACAGACTGCAGCAAGTTTTGTTTTTTGGCTAAAACGCTTAATCGGGAAATAAAAACAAAACGTTATCAAGTTATTAGCCGTCTGTATTCGGAGCAACCATTGAAATATATCTACCTTCACTTCAGCATGAATATCAGATGAAACAATTGCAAAAACCTGGCAATCGACACCAGCTGACTAAACCGATGGCGTTAATTGTCCGACCATGACCACCAACACAAGCCGTGTCGAACCGTGCCTGCCGAATGAACCGAATGGGAGAGATGCACCTGCACCCTGCCGTGCGGCAATCAGCGGGGATTTCCATGGTCGACATTATTTGTCGGGCAAATCAACTTACACTTTTTGCTCCCGAAGCGGCACATGCGTCCAACAACTTCTAAAGCCACGTAACATCAACTCTACATCGATTACTGAAACCTGGTTTCGACGACCGACGCCAAACAAAATTATGTTGCTACCCAGCCATAACATCGTTCGCCGAGACAGAGCAAGCAAACGCGTGTGACCAGGTCTGTGTTTTTCTATTTTGTTTCAAGGAGGCAAATTTAGCTTAATAACATCGCTGAGAGGGAGTTATGTCGAATCCGGGGGTAACCAGTTTTTATATTACATTTGGCGCTAGCTTTTATCCCACTCGGCCTCACCACTCCCATTTTGCAAAACTCACTATTATGGTAAAGTCTCAACGACCGTGACACGCGAAAGATTCGTCCCCATTATACCCAGATTATACTACAGGGTCATGTCTGGGACTTGGGCCCCATTTACCAAACAGACAGAACTGACATCCGCGATTTACATCGGTCGGGACTCTGAAGTCAGTGAATGGCCCCTGTGCCGGTCAGTGGACTACAGTGTCCAACAAGAGTCGAGTATTGACAAGGAGTTCAGCGTCGGCCCGGGACAGTGTTCGGGGGGTCCGGAGAGGTGCCGAAGTCCCTGAGGACCGACGATGAGTGCCTGATTGGAAGGCACGAAGGCAGAGCCGGGCCATCAAATGTCAGTCAGAGAGCCTCTTGCACCGGTTGGGGACACCCCGGGACAGTGCGGGTCTCTATTGCAGTCACAAGCCACCAACACGGAAACAGTTGGCTCCGTGTCGGTCTCAGCCCTGGAGGCCCATTTTCCAAGCAAAGACAAAGGTCGAAACCTGCGCTTTGTATTCGTCGGGTCCATCCCAAAAATGAGGGCTTCTTTGTTGGTCAGAGACTCACAGTGCCTGCTAATACCCACTGCTTGCAAGAAGTCGCGAGTCGGCAGGCCACCATTTGTTGGACAGGGACAGAGATGGGACCCCGAGAGCAAGAGGCCTCTTGCTTTGGTCTTGGACCTCTGAAAACAAAAATGGTGATAAAAGTGTACGATGAGTGCCCACATGACAATAACGGGAGAGCTTTAGTTATGCAAGGCCCCGGTGCCGCACAGAGGGCTCTCCATCCCATTTCAGCCAGGGGGCTCGTTATGCCGAGCTGTAGTCTATATGCCAATTAATAGACCAGGGGAGTTAATTTTTGTAAATTATTGGCGGGCGGGGGGGGAGGGGGGCCGAACCGAAGGCCCAACAACCTACTCCCCCATCTCTGTCATCGGACTTCTTAGCCCACCTTATGTGGATTAAACGCAATATATGTTTTTGATCTTTATAGAATTTATACACGTCTTTAATCTAAGCAGTATAGAAGTCATCCAGGATTGGATCCAGGGAGCAGGCACAGGATGCGCGCGTCTCTTCTGATCGGCACGTGAAGGCGCCCCCTTAGAGGCCATCTTTAGGCGCTGATTGTGCTCTTCTATGGCGGTTATGGAAGGCGGCACACATTTTGGTTGTTAGGGACGGTGGCAGTTGTAGTTATGAAGCACTTATCCTATCCACATGCTCCAGAGCTCCCTACTTTAGCCCCACAAGCAAACCATTGCGTGTCTTATGGCAATAGGCGTGTGAAGTTTATTGCATCGTTTATCCGCTCAGCTATTATGGTTCGTATCTTGTGGTGAGAGCAGCCATGACTTTTTGTTATGAGAGTGGTACGAGACGCCGCTTCGCGGAAAGATCAAAGAGGAAAGTCTTTGTGTTATGATTATCTTTTACCCACGCTTTTGTAATATTCCAGACAAAAACATTGAGGGCGGCCAAGCCAATATAAAGAGGGCTCAACTCAAAATTGGGAGGGCCAGAGCCCTCACAAAAGAATACAAATCGACACTGGTGTACTGGGCGCCTGCGACGATGAGGGATCTTTTGCATCAATGAAGGCTCCTGCGTCTACGTGGTAACGAATTGCCAGGTCACGACGCCACCGGCGTCAGGCAGGTGACCAATGTATAATGCATCCCTCTACACCCAGGGTTTCTATATCGGCCAGGGCGTCCCGTCCCTAAGACAGCCGGTGACATCAAGCGCATGAACTTTTGCGTCTGGTCAAACCACGCCGCACTATTTCAAAATCCCCGCTCCTTGTTGGGAGATTGGAACGGCGAAACTGGCTTGGGACGCGCCGCAGGTCTCCAACGGCCAACCGCCGCATTTGACTTCCGTTTCCATTCCGGCGCTCCCACGCGTGTGTGATTTCAGCTGTGAGAAATTGAATGTGCTGAGTTTGATATCTGCTTTTTATATATTTTAAACATTGCATGTGGTTGTTGAGCGTCGCTGATGGATGCGGCGGAGTTCTTGAATGAGAAGAAGGTGACGCGTGTCGTCAGCGGAGGGAAAGATGTTGAGACATCCCTGCTTTCCCTGCCAACGGAAATTTTGGAACATATCTTGTGTTTCCTGAGTGTAGAAGATATTGTTTCTGCATCACAAGTATGCAAGAGATTTCATGATATCCATACTTCAGAGAGAGTGTGGAGGTTTGGATTTGAGTCCAGGTAAGTTTCCTGGGTCAGGGTACACCATTTTGCTGATAACTATGCAAACTTTAAGCCTCTGCTGCAGCTGACATAATGAGGGTGTGAAGTTGCCATTATTAAAGGGTTAAATATGGTCAGAGCAGTCCTGTACAAGTGCATATATTTTTTGTGTTTGTAACATGCATATTTGCATGACAAACTTACATATTTGTGGCAAGCCATGTCAGCTATGTTGGTTATTTGTACCAGCAGTTGCATAGAACATGCTCTTATAATGTAGATGTAAAGCATGCAGATTTTTCAACATTTTGTACTTATACAGGGCATGAACCCCAGTTTTTGTGGTGCTTATTATGGCAATGCAGTGATGTCACTCCCTAACATAGGCTTGGCAGGTTCAGCTGAAAATGTTTACCTAATGTACCCTCAAAACCCAAGTTTTTTGTGTGATTTCATACACTCAAAGTTTTGGGTTGGATGTTGAACTTGCCAAAAATAAACTTAAAAACTGTATCTATTGCATTGTTTTGCTAAGGACAGTTTTCTGTGGGGAATTAACCTAATGTTTTAAAAAGGTGTCACCTACATTTTTGTGAAAAGCATAGAATTAGATGTGATTCACAGAAAAAACAAATGAACTGAATATTAGTAAGGGACCCTTGATGACCACTTCCGTTGCTGATCACTTTATATCACCAGAACATCAATGATAATGTGACAAATACACTTGCCACCACTAGGGAAAACATGAGAACTTTTTGTTAGGCTGTCATGTACTTCTTAAAGCTGCCACACATTGAGATATTTATAACTTTTCCAACCTGGGCATTACCATCTAAGACTTTTATCACCACTTCCACACCAGCTTAACATGGCAAGGAATTAGCATGACACAATGTTACATTCCTTCAGGATACTATTTGGTATGAACCCAAACTGAAATTACAAAGCTACACCCTTGAATTCAGGGTCTTGTTACAATTCACTGTCAAGATGTCTGCAGTCTGGGTATCACTGGTAATAGTCAATGTTCAGTTCTCAATACATCACCATTTTAATGACACTCAAACTACCTCCTCTTCACACCTTAAATTGTGATAAGTGAGGTATGGCACCCTGATGGTCAAATGACTGCCAAAAGCTGACTTCATATAATTAAAATTTGGCATGCAGTTTGGTTCAGCTCCTTGAATGTCAAGGTTAAAAACATGTTGGATTTTGTTCTCTAATTCTGTATGCCTGTAACACTCTCTAATGGCTTAACATACCAGGTACGGTTAGTACAACACCCGGTACACAAGTGTGGTGCATTGAGACATAGGGAGCAGATGCTCTGGGATTAGGTGAAGATAAAATGTGGTTATTTTTTGTTCTGTCCTTCCAGCTATCATATGGATCAGGTTCCCGTCCTTCACTACCTCTTCGCCCCCCTAATGTCTTGAATTGTGAAGTATTGTGTCCAGAACCAGGTGAAGAACCAGCCAACCAGACAAGTGAGATGAGTCAGAAGTCCATGGTTTTATCACTTGGAGTTCTCATTCTTGCATTCAAACAGGACAGACGTTCAACTTAATGCTACGTTTGCGGTGTTTAATGCCACGTTTGCAACTTAATGCCTCGTTTTTAGCGGTGCATTTACCGGGTGTGAACAGATTTGAAATGCGGCCATCCCCGAACATTAGCGTCAGTATTCCTCGTGTTTCGGACCACCCGATTTGAAGAAAGCGCCGAATGAATTGAACAGGAAAGCACTTTTCGAGCACAAATAAGGCAAACAGATTGACACGGGAATATGTTTTTGTTCTTTCTAAAAAAGGACCGAAAAGACATGTGATATCCATGCTCTTCATAGCATCACTGTCTCAAAACGTCAGGGGAGAGGATGGACTGCTCTGCATCTAGCTGGAGCATTCATTTTTGTAAGATTTTCTTTAAATCTTTGGAATAGATGGGTTTCAGTGATCGAGCCAATGCTTAACAGTACTGGTTGCAATAGCCCTGGTCTCTACCATGCGATTGTGTCATCAACGCATAATTTGGAAGCGAAAATGTCACGTACCCCAACGCCCAGTATGCTCCGTCCCGCTCTCTGACTTCATCTGACGTTTATCGTGTGCGCCGCCACCTCCGCAGACCATCGTCCTTAAAGACAAACTGCGAGCGCTTAACTTGACTCAAACCCGTCCCTCCTCATGTTGCCTGATAGCAAGGCGGGCACTGCAACGAACTGCGGTATGGGGACGGACCTTTGCAGGTCGCACTGCAGCCAATAATGTTCCATTACAAAGATCCTGTAGGACGCAAGTTATGATGCATTTTGGTGGATTTCATATGATTAGTCGTGTGTAGATTGTGCTACATTATGGTTGCAGAAGGATCTTGCTCATTAGGTGTCAAACGAAATGTTTAACACGAGACAGTGATGGAACCAGCAGTTTTGACTTGAATAGTACCAGTGTAATCCAGCTAGTTACTTGTGAATTCGATGCGCGTCGGCGGCGACTTATTTTGTGTCCCGTCATTTCTATCGGAAAAAAGATTAAAAGCAATGGGTATGTTTCATTGTCCGTACATTCACATTTACCCCAATTTTATTTTTCGAAGCAGAATAAGCGTATCCTCTTTTTCCATACTGGTAGATGAATTAGTGCAGTGTGCTGGTAATTGCGGCTCTGGTGTCTCCGTGGCGGGTGTTCTTTATTTTCTCATCAGGTACCAACTCTAAGGAGCGGTTTGTGCCTAGCTGTTATTTTTTCCGGTACAACATGCTCCAGTTTCGTGGATTTCCTTCTTTTTTAGGGCGCCCGTTACATTAATTGCACCCTCCGGTGCATCCTTGCCTTCGTTGGTCCCCTAGCGAACCTCAGTCACCTGTTCGATTCGCTCACGGCACCGTCGTCTTTTTATAGGTACCCTCGCCTGATGCAGCCCTCGTGCCGGCCTGCCCTGCTGCGTGTGTTCGAACAATGCGGCCGCAGCTGGCGTCGCACTGCGAGGTTTCGCACCTCGGCTGGCCACCACCTGCGCGCGGCCCTAGCCAAGATGGCCGACAGATGCTACTCGGTCGACTGCCTGCCGGACCCCGCTATGGAAGAGTTCCGCCAGCTGGTGCCCATCCATGGTACCCTGTTTAATCGCGATGCCCTTCTGGAGATCATCTACCCGCGTCAACACTGTCCGTAAGTTGGGTCATCTGCTCCTATGCTTTACTAAGTGCTCTGACCCGGTTCATTTCGCTCAGATCGAGCAAGCCAGACACTAAATGTGGTGCGTGTGCGTAAACTGCACGCGTAAGGTATTACAGCAGGTAACAGCATCTCTCCAAGACTGGTTCTCAGTTTCTTTGTCCCGCGGATTGTAATTCTACAATTTAACGCTTTTGCACATGTTTTGGCGCTCACGTTCCATTGAAAGACATTCAGTAGGTTTACCATGGCTTTGGCCCCTCTGTACAAAAACATCTTTGTTGTTCTCGCTGGTGCTTAGGGTCACTGCCGATAAATGATCCTTTCATCTGACATTTAGGCCTGAGAGGTGAAATATGTCGTGCGACGCATTTGTGTAACTCTAACCGCTCTACGACAGGGATGATGACCTGTCTGTGCGCTACTATGCGCGGATGCTGTTCCGCGAGATCCAGCGGGACGTCGTGCTGCTGCCCCTGTTCCGGGAGTACATGCAGCGGCCAGTGCAACATCTGAACGTTCCCGAAGCCTTCTATCTGATGAGCCTCTGGATGATTCCGGAGCAAACCAACAGTCTGCAGTCTGAGCTCCAGGCGTGAGTCTCTCGTCTCGGGAAAGCAATCAGAGTACTTTGGCTGTTTTTTTACACTGGCTAGCACCTGATTGTTATCAGTTATTTGGGGCATTTATTTTCTTCCTTTACTCTCGTTGCTGGCTTCACTCCATCCATGACCGACGATCGCCATGCCCATAACGTGTATTGCCGCTAGCCCTGAAACAAATGGTGTAGGCTGCTATGCAGGCGAAACAATAGTACAGGCTGATTGAATTTACAAGCACCAGCCGATGAATGGGTGCTCTTGAAGGAAAACGCGCGGAGGGGCGTACAGTAGTTCGTCCTCCCCATTGCGACCTTCCCTGTCGTCCCATTTGCCATTGATACCAAGCCTTCTTTGCAATGGTTTGTGTACGCATGCATCTTGTTCGCCAGCCAGTAAACGAATGTCACGACGTATGATGCGCACACGTGAATTTTTACACAGAGCCCTCGCCGCAGCTACTACATCAAGATCGCCAGCCTGGTTTTGGGCGAGGTGCGTCAGCGGCTCCCGGAGCACCCGGCCGCCGCCTGGGATACGTGCAAGCAGAACCCGTTCGGACCCACGCTGTGGACAGACGACCAGACGCTGCAACTGCTGGACGTGCTGAACGTCGTGCTGTATGACCAGCTCGCCCTGATGGAGGACGATGGACCGAAGGACGGACCGGCCGCCGAGCTGAGCACACTTGTGAGTGTTTATTGCTTTCAAACGTTGTTGTCGGGTCTTGCACATTAAAAGGCATGATCCTCTGGGTGATGTGCTGCTAAGCACAAATGTGCTGCAAACCTCCCTACCCACCCATTTATCACAGGTCTGAACCCCCTGACTGCTGGATGGCTGCCTAAACATGCGTACTGCCTTGTGGTGTGTGCATAGTGAGCGATGCTTGTTGATGGAAAGAGGATGCAATATTGGTATTTGCTTGAGTGCATGCAAGCAGCTATTTTGTTCTTTCAGTCTGTAAAGCAGACTACCCTTATGGCTAGTTATGTTTTTTGATGATGGACTTTCATAAACCTGACTTCGGTTCTACAACCTATCCCTGAACTATGGATGGATAGATAGGCTGCTCCTGCTCAGTGTATGAAAGGTATTGGAACTTTGGATTGCTACAAATCAAAACTATTACTATTTACTTTACAACTGCTAGTGTGTGCAGGTCACTTCATGTATATGAAATCAGTGGATTTAAGTGGTCGCCATTTCTTTTGCTGCTTTTAGTATTTGCAGGCTATTTAGCATTCCTAACAGAATTTGTATCATGACCTACCATTTTGTTTACAGCTCTTCGTGCGCCATCGCCACTTTCGCCGTGCCGGTTCGAGGGTGCAGACTGTGATGGCCACCGTCTACTGCTCTGTGGCTGGCATGCTGGGTGTGAACCTCCACAACGTGCAGCTCCCGCACAGCTGGATGATCTGCTGGCACAAAACGTAAGCATTTTTGCCTGAGCATCGATATCAGATCTGTTGCTCTGGCACAAATCACTTGAGTGGGCAGGATGCTGATCTAGTCCGTGTTGGTTGGAGGGTCGCTGTTTGCTCAAATATTGTTGCAATACCGAATGGGGTAAGGGCCTTGTCCCACCTTTTTTGATTTAGCCATAGCTGTAGGTAGAAGGATTGTGGTGTGTGCACCTCATTAAGTTTCCTTTCCAACTTTGAGGTATTTTTATTTTGCCCAAGCTTTGGTGTTAGGTCTGTCTAGTGAGCTTCTCTGATCAACATCACATTTTTTTAACATAAAGAGTAGTTGAAAAGTTGCTTAGCTATGTGTGTGGAAGGCTGTGTTGTTTCCATAATGGTGCAATCTATGATTTTTTCCCATCCACTGTACATTTCATGATAACTGCAAGGCTTACATCGATTGCGGAATTCCTGGATGGTTTTTCAAAAGCACGTGTTTATGCATTGGGCTCCATGGTAATGCAATGCTCATGGACGTGGATACTGAAGGGCTCATAATTTTGTAAGTGAAAGCACCCCTGAACTTATATTGTCCGTGTTAGGCAACGCCGGACGAAATAGCACACTCTCTGCTTCCATTTGTATTCAGTGTCTAGCGTGTCCCTGCACACCATGTGTGTGCATGCATACAGGGCCTTGATGTGCACCGTGCCTGATAGCCTAATGTTCTGTTCCATGGGCAGGGACGGTGAACAGTACCTGTTCATCGACGTTGTGCGCCGCGGCTTGCAGCTGTCCAGGGAGCAGGCGCTGGAGGAGCTGAATGCCCTCCAACCGGGAGTCGACCTCCAGATGCTGGAACCTGTCCCCAGAGAGAGGGTAGGTCATATCGCCAAATGTTTGAGAACATTGTCGGTGTTATACATGTGATATGTCCCTGTTGTACTCTTTGTGTTTGGTGTTGGAGTGATTACACAACTTCGGTATGCGAGATGCATATGTTATTTCTCGTGATTTGCCCCCACATTCATGACCTCACGTTTGGCGAATGCTTATGCCTGTGGTGGATTAGCCAGGTCGCCTAACATAGACCCGTACTGTTAAGTGTATTTAGCCACCTCGCCTGGAGGGTTGGAAGTAAGCCCACTTTTATATTTCAAGATCTGCTAATTTTATGAAGATGGCCAAACAACAATCAATTGGTCTCATAATCTCACCCAGAAGTTGTTGCATTAGCTTTGTAACCTAAGTCATGACACCACAGCTGACGCAAGAAGGGTAAAAAGAACTGCAAATTTTGTGTAAAGCTTATTGCCCATGACACCCATTATTGTGGCTACATTTCTGTATAGCTGATAGCAACGAATAGAAACGCGATGACAAGAATCTAACAAACAGTGACTTGTGTTCTCTTGAACTCCTTAACCATGTGACATTGCTTGCGCAGCTCAGGGTTGCGCGTGGGTCATGTCATCTGAAGGTCGTGTTATTTTATGGTCATACCATTTCATCAGACATAGTTTTCCGGGTGTTCAGAATCAAGTCAAAGTGCCCGTCCTTCCTGCCAGCGTGAGAAGCAGACGACGACATTAAGTCTCAGCCGTGTACTTTGTAAAGCCCCAGTGACGACGAAATAATATGACTGATGCAGAAGTCGTTGGTTTGGAAATGTGATATTTAAGCCGACGCGTTAGTTCAGCGAGCTGATGAGTTGCTTCAGAGCAAGCCCAATGGGATGTTCGTCTTGGAAGCCTTTGTTCATCAAGTCATTGGCGTAAGCAATACGTACCACTTTGCTCAAAATTTGTCAAATTGATTATTTGCCAGTTGACGCCATTTTCGTAGCCGTACTTAGTAAGAGTTCAGATAGGTCGTTATTGCCAAATTAGGTTGCAATTGCTAAGTTCATGCCTTACCTCAGGCTGGCACACGATAGAGCCAGACCCACCGTGTCTATCCCTGCTCTACGCACGTTCTTCAGTGTGTTTCGATGTCACTGTGCCTGTTTCCCCATCTTACCATGTATACTGTGTTTTGGCAGTTGCTGAGGTACGTGATCCAGTGCGCCACCCAGCCGGATCCCTGCCGGCCAGGGACCGACTTTGACTTGGCCTCGGTCGAGACACTGGCCTGCTGGGCCCGCAGCGACTGCCGCCTGGACACGGCCGCGCTCGTCGACCTGATGTCCGCCCTGGCTCGTACCAGACCCATGTACACACGCCGCCTGCTGCAGGTCAGTGGTCTCCCATGACGCCCCGGCGGAACGGTCGGCACGTGCGGTCAGTCAAACCCTTTTGGGCACTTGACCCAGGTTGCTTGTCATCTCCGCTGTAATGCATCCGAAGCCTCCGGCCCTCGCCGTTCGCCCCCTCCGATCTAAAGCAGGTGGGTAGCAAAGGCCCCACCGGGGCCACGCACCCTCTGCTCATGGCGTTGGAAATTTTTGCGCTTTGTGCATACATTTGCACACCATTGTGTGACTCCCACTTACACAAACACTAGTACGAAGATCCGCTGTAGACGTCCTTTATGTCAACGCCGTGAGTTATGCTGATGCGCTCCAATGATCTGGATTTGGCAATGCTTATGCTGTTGCTGTAGGAGACGTGCGCCTATGCTAATATGATGACAGCCAGTACCACGTTCTCTACAGTTTTTGGGGAAAACGTGCATCTACGTGTGGAAGCGTCACTATGAGTTGCACCATTTATGTCTAAGGGCATATGTGGCTTACATGTGTCATAGCGTGAAGCCTGCAATTCTGTGTTCTGGCACCTTATATATCCAGCTTGTAGCTGACCTTTATCTGGTGTTCTATCCTGAGTTCGAAATGTCAGTGGAAATGTTTGGTGAAATGGCAAGCCTGCTCAGGGAGCATAGTTTTGTTTTGTTTCTTCCCATAGCAATTCATCCAGGCTAATGCATCATACCTGATGGAAGACGACAGGCGTTGCTTGCAAGTACTCGTGAAGGACCTGAAGAGGAAGTACAAGCGATTGTTGCTCTCCCTGGAGAAACAAGAGACCAAGGTCCAGGAGCTGGTAAGAATCAGCTGGATTTGATCAGATTTACACCAGTAGTATCATTCTTGTAACCTTTTCATATAGACCTGAAGGCAGATATTTGTTTTCCTGCATTCAGGAGGTGGTGGGGGTAAGTGCACAGGGTATGTAGGGCCTTCTGGTATGAATGTGCGTCTATCTTTGCTGAAGTTTGACTCTAGCCCAGTGCGTAACTTGCCAACATGCTTTTATACAGTATCCAGTCTAGTGTATGGATGCTGTAAGTTTTATGATGCGGACGTAGAATCCTAATGCGTAGGCACGACATGCACTACTGTACAGTTTGCAAAGGGCCCTATGGGACAAACGTCAGTCCTTGTATCATTTGATTTTGCTTTGAATCTTGTGGTCCTGATGATGTGTACTCGGTGTATGCGTGTCTGTGACGTGTCTTAACATGCCTCCGACGCGTATCTAACATTCCTTCCACATTATAATATTGGGGTGTTCACTCACCTATAATGCAGTGCTATCCTTTTACGCCCTTTTGCCCTGTGCCATTTGTTCACTCTTCCAGTCAATTTTTTTCTATTCTTGTAGCATCCGTGATATCTGATTATATTGGCTGTATTTATTCACAAGATTAGGCACGGAGGCCAGTTGATCCAGTCCCATTTTCATTGCATGACAATCCACCTACTGCCTTTTAGTCATGTTGCAGGCCCGCTAGACCCCATCATGTCAAGGCCTCATTCTGTCGCACAACCCTTACCTTATGTTGTGTATACTGTCCTTAGCCTCGTTATCGGTGTTTCAGGTGAGCCTCCGCGCGGCAGGCCAAGCAGTGGGCGACTATCCGAGGCAGTTCGGCGTCGGTGACGTCGTCACGCGCGGCGACGGGCACCTGGCTGTGGTGTACGGCTGTTCACCACACTACGAGGTCTCACAGGTATGAGCGGTACCAATGGAGTTATTGGATCATGACAGGCCCTGGTTGTTGTGTCGCCTGATGACCTATTTTTTCAAAGCACTTGGCGGCTTTGCCTCTGGCATACCTTACAACCTGAAACACAGATAACGTCTCTGTTCCGTGGGGCTTTAGGTAGGCACTAGCTCAGTTCAATACTTGCTATGCTCTGTCCACAGTGTATCCATTGCCTATTGGTACTACAAACTTTTGTAGTACCATTACAAGTCTTCTGTACCTTACACCTCCAACGATATTTGTGCTGCATGAGCTGTGTTGACTCTGTCCGGTGCCTTTTGCAGGACTGGATGGAGGAGCGTCGCGTCAACTCCAGACTACAGCGTGGAGCCAACCAGCCCTTCTACAGACTACTGCTGGAGGTGGATCAGTTCGGATACGTGGCCGAGGGTGAGGAGGCTCATCTAACAAGTGGTGTGCACTCTTGCCTAGATCTTAGCGCGTACATTCATTTACAGCATCCCAGCATCCAGCAGTTTTTCTGCATTCAAGTTGTTTTTTTCGCGGTCCTGGTTGGTAACAGGAGAGCAATATCGATGCCGTAGCAAGCACGCTACGTTTTGTTCAGTATTTTTAGCTCTAAACAGCGGTGCCGGTATGTATTGGTTAACGCATCTGCGCTAACCGCTGCGCGTCTGGGAAACCAGAGGTACGGGGTTCGATTCCCCGCGGTGCCTGCTCTTCCTGCCAGGGTGAGAGGCAGGCGACGCCATATAGCCTCTGCAGCTGAGCGCGTCGTAAAGCCCCAGTGACACACAGCAGTTGTGTCTTCATTCTTCCTGCTTCTTTGACAGTCCTGTGTTGTGACTTTAAACATATATGCATTCAAATATTCAGCCGTTATTGTCATAATGCTGTTGGACTTTGTATCTCTTAGTATAATTCATAAAGACTAGCCCCTCCTTGGAAAGGTTACTGAGCTGTACACAAAGAATCGCGAGTTCTTTGATGCCTTTTGCCCATCATGGTGTTGAGTGCCTCTTGGGTCTGCCTCTAACAGAGGTGTATGCATCATTGCAGAGGAGCTCCAGCTGGCCCCAGATCCCAGCCTATTGATCACCAAGGAGTGGTCGCTTCTTCACCCGGTTCGACGGGGAGCGGTACCAGCCGATCACTCCTCTGGCCATTCGCTTCCCTGAGCCGCGGCGTGAGCGTGAGGCGAAAACGAGCTTCGTCGAGTCGCCAGAAGATGACAGCGACAGCGATTGGGAGCACTCGATGCAGAGGTGGAGGAATGGAGGCCGGTGCCCCCCGCTGTCTGGACGGGTGTCTGGCCAGAGATCCTCCCCGAGGACTCAGATGATGAGGACGCTGATGGTGGAGCCGTGACTGCTGACGTTGGCCCGGTGAACCACTAATGGCTGTGTTGGAGCTGTGAAGAAAAGCGCATCAGCTTAACTGGATACCTCATTTTTCTGTATATCATTGATTGACTGCATTGCATAGTAGCTGTGTGTGTACCTGATGTGTACAGCTGAGCTGAGTGTATGTAACTGTGTGCTGCTCTGTACACATTCAACGATGTGCCATTCTCCGTGATTGGTCGAGCTGTGTGCACTGAATAACGCTGATCAGTTCTGGCACTCGGTGGTTGCGGACACACGGTCTTGGCGTTGATTTTCAGGTGTCTTTTTATGTGATAACGTGCTGTGTCACCGGCTGTGCATGTGATGCCAACTATGGAAGTGTTTTACGCTTAACGTGTACATTTGTGTGCATATGAGTCATATGCGTGGTGTTGATTGATTTTGTTCTTCTCAGGCTATTTTGTCTGCAAAAGCTGATCAGTATTGTGTAGTGTCTTTTGCATGCGTTTTAAATATGTCCGATTGTATCAATGGGTCATGAAGTATCGTCATTTACTGATATCAGGGAAATTGCATTAATGCTGTGATAATCTCATCAGTCCATATGCCACATATACCTGCATGAGGATTTTCCAGTGTGTACATTTGGCGATTGTAGGTATCACGTGTAGAACCGTTTTACAAAGGAGCAACCGCAGAGTTTTTGTACGTCTAGTATCATCAATGTTTGTGATAAAAATGTATCAACCGGTACAATAAATAATATAATAATTGCAGTGGTTCCTATGTGAAGGCGACAGAAGCTTCCATTGTTCGGAAGGCCCTCTATTTTCTGAGGGTTGAAACGTTGCAGAAGCACTGATCCACACCGCTGCCGTTGCTTGGAATGCCTCGCAGTCCATTTTTGATCCGGTCTTTGATCTTTGTCAGGGTATAGTAAGAGCCACCAATTCTATGTCTGCTAGCTTATTGAATTTGGTTGAATCCAGGTGTTATCAGCTCCGTGAAGAACGATTAATACAAACGGTCCGCAGGCCGTGCGAGTGTCATCGTCCAAAGATTTTAAAGTTTCAGCGACACGGCTCCAACCGGCCTGTCGCGCTTAGGATGTGGTTGTATTTCTCGACTACTTAGCTACTGCTTTGTAGGTTTCAGCATCAAGTTGCACACTGTTTTCGGAATCCTTTTGAAGCGTTCCCAGAAATTTGATTTTTTATAGGGCAGGACATTTTCCCAACCAGCAACAGTGCCGCAAATGCATCTCCCCAAACTTTACTTGGGAAACTTAATATTAATTTGCGTAAAAACTGAAAAATGCGCCCGTGCTGCCATTTCTCAACGAGTTGGAGGTACTACGAGTGGTAATTTCGCGTGGGTCGTTTGGCAGTATGTCAACGTCGCACAAACGTTCCACGATGAAATCAGGGAATGACGCACTCAGAAGCACAGTTACCAAATGCAACAATTTTCTCATCTAGCCCGGTCTTTGCAACTCCTTATCAGGCACTGCCGCCTTAAAGTACACTGATTGCATCAAGTTGATTGCATCCTATATGATGCTTGCTTCAAAACCCTTAAATCTGGCACCTTCCCTGTAGCTGGTATAGTTGAGATTATTTGATAAATTGTTGTTTTTTTCTCGGTAGAGCGAGATGCTCACCGTCATAACCACTGCAGCTGTTAAACGCGTAAACCTACCCGCGTTTAATCGCTTGGTTAAGCAACAAAACGAATGTGTGGTTCCATAGTTAGCTAATACTTTCCCAACCAATGATCTCCAGTGCGGGGAAGCTAAGCGCAGATTTTCCTAACGTTACACATCATGTTTGTCTCGAATTAAAGAGCCAATATTCCATCAATCACGATTCCTTTAGTTGCACTTGATAAATCATGTGCTGCTATTTTGTTTCACACCAATGACTTCGGTCTGGATTATCACTTCAGCGCGTGATTTATGTGCCAGGAAATTGATGGAATGTTCCTGTCGTGCTAACGTCCTCAGCCCAGCACTGGCTTGTGCGCTTGGCCCGCTAACGTAGCTCGTCAGGGATTGCACTGATTTGTAGATGACGCCACCTACGGTGGTGCCGGCGCGTACAGGTGACGCCGCCAACAGGTGACGCCGTCCATGGATTGGGTCCGTTGGGGAATGTTGTCAAAGCGCAAAAAGCGGTTCTTGGTTGGGACGTTGCACATAGCAGCATGTCTAAAGGCACAGGGGACACAATGTATTTGCCCCACCGCTCTGACACTGTAACCGTCATGGCAGTAAGACGACTGGTTATGTACATGGTTGTTATGGACTTGGAGACGTGGTCGTCCAAAAAAGTGCCGCACCAAACCGGCCAATCCGCTAAAGCCATGCGATTTTTGGCCAGCGATGCTTATCGGACCCGCACCACCACTCCCAGTGCGAGTTGTGAGTCTCCACGCGCGTTAGAATTTCGCCACGCGGGAGGGCACCTATTTGTTAAATACTATTTGAAGCGCACCGTAATACGCTCCATAATTTTTGCCAAAAAGGTGGACAGCAATCAATGACAGAGCAACGTTGCGTAGGTAATGGCAGAGTGTCCGTGTTATCTTGTTACTTAGAATGCTGCGGTCTTCAGTCTACTGAAAGCCGCCTTTCCAGTACACATTGTAAAAATTACAAGTATACGGTGAATGTTCATACATATTGTTACAACTATTGCAAGGCTTGGTGCCATCTGACGTACAAGAATCCCTGAAGTCGTTGCTTTGTAAAACCGTGCTACCAACTATAAAATATATAATAATACCTGGTGCATATAAAATGATACATGGTGCCTACCACCGATAAATGTGTATACACGGGACACAATCATCAGAGTTTAGGCAGGCACACGGCTTGAAAATACATCACAGCAATGTGAGCATAGTCCAAGATAATCTAAGGCATAGCAATGACATTGTTTTCAATGCCTAAGCACGTGGCTTAATATCACTAATCAGCTATCCCACAGCCAACCTCACATGTCAAGTACGAAATCAGTTGTCACATAACAATCATATGACAAACACAAGTCTGCACAAAGCACATGCACACACTGTGAAAGCTGGCATCGCATACGTAACCGATAACAAACACAGCTATCACATGTAAAAAGCATGCAATTGGGAAAAATCATGACGGCATGTCTGCAAGCATCGAGTGCCAGTCAGGCACGCGAGAAAGCTGGGCATAGTGGGCATGCTGCAGGCGCGCGGGGTCAGCTGTGAACAAGGCAGGGCATGTGCGAACAAGGCATGCCAGGTCAGCCCAGTAAAGCCGGGGTCGCGCGGGGCCAGTGAGCAATGGCGGCGTCAGGTATACCCGAGCAGCGGTCACGGAGAGCCGAAATGTCGCCAGCAATGGCGGCGTCAGGTACACCCGAGCAGCGGTCACGGAGAGCCGAAATGTCGCCGGCAATGGTGGTGTCAGGTATACCCGAGCAGAGGTCATGGAGAGCCGAAATGTCTCCGGCAATGGCGGTGTCTGGCGTATCCTAACGTTACTAATACCCTGCTATGTTGATTCCCTACCTCCTCTTTCCCTGGTTATTCTTCGCAATCCGTTTGCATCTGTTCCCGCTGCTGCTGCGGAAGCCACAGGTGGTTCTGGGTCCACCAGCTTCATCATATCCCCCAGGGACAATATATTATGTGTCGGAACCCCACGTCTCACACGAATGTTGAGCTATCGTGCATCTGACCATTCTCCGACGACCTTGCTATTGTTTATGATTTGCCAGGCTTCTGAGGCGATAGGCCCATTGTCGTGCATCACGTTGTTGGAGATAAACACGCTGTTGGCCACCTGAACTGTCACGTTGGGGCTTCAGAAAAAGGGCGGGGTTTCCTCAGCTCCTTCATTGCGTTGCAAGGTTGGCACGTGGCGAAGTTCGTGAAACAAACATAAATCGTTCGGCTTTTCCCTGGGGTGCGGGCCAAGTCTCCGTGGGAAACGTCGATGCTGCCTGACGCGATCTCGACACCGGATATTCTGTCTACGTCAATCATCATCTGGTTTGTTGACCTTTATGGCCTCCCTCGGGTATGCCACTGACATTAGCGCGTGCTCGGGTGGGCGGTCAAATTGAACTCCCCCCGAAGATCTCTCCAGATTGGTTTCTGAACGGCGCGTCGTAGCCGCGCCAAATTGTGCTCAGCTGTAGACAATTGAATAGCAAATCGTTTGGCATCAAAAATTTAGATATACCCTGTAAGTGCTGACCCATGGGAGGGCAAAATCAGGCCATAGTTTCAGCGAAGGCAATTTCAAGGGAATCATTCAATCTGATCCAACAACGGAGTGTTAGACATAGCCATACATCTCTGAGTTGCTTTCTTAGGCAACACAACAGTTGAATGGGCAAATAGCGTTGACCTAAAGTCAGGTATGAAGGTCACATCATGGTCAAATCCAGCCTATTTTGTTGCTTTAGGGTTTGCTGTATGAGATAGTTTCTGATACTCCTTTCGAGTTTATTGATAGCAGGAACCGCATTAGACATCTTCCATGGACTTCTTAGAGGTCAGAATAGATCACTGACCTAAAATGACCCAGGCCAACATTTTGTTTTGAGAACATACTGCTTAGCCTAATTCTTGTCGCTTAGTAAAATACAAAACTGAAGGCAATCTTGTGTTATTTTGGTCACCTTGACCTTCAAAAGGTCAGTCACTGACCTAGAATGAGCACAAGACCCTTTGCCTAGAAACGGTTATGTATGTTCTGTGATTACTTTGAAGACCAGCCTGAAACTTGATTTTGTTTCACTTTTTTGACCCGAAGGTCATGACTTAGGAACCTGAAATTCCCTATTCCCTTCGCCTCCAGCCTCTTACTCTTTGATCTGTTCATCCCTATCGACCACAGCTTCGGCTACGGTCGCCGTCACCTGCTCATTGACAGAATTCAGGCTACCCTGCTTCACCGCTCTCTTGATGGCCTTCTCTATCCTAATGGAAGTCAGTTGTCAGTTACCAGTTAGTGCTGGGTCACGGACACTCTCACTCGGCTCGGCCAGTCAATCCCTCAGCGTATAGGGGGAGCGAGCGGGTGGACGAAGCAGGCAGCATGCGATCCGACTGGGGCGGTGGTCACAGGTAGCCTGATGCCATTTGCTATTGCCCAAACTTTCCGATGTCACAAACATGAGATAGCCTACCATTTTCTTCTGAATTTTTCGCATTTTTCCTCTCGCTCGGATAGCTGGTCGCATCGGTATGTGCACGTCGAAAATGAACTAAATACTTAGCCGCCAAAGGCGCTGAAGCCATGTGTTTTCTGGCCAGCGAAGTTTACCGGGCCTGCGCCACCGCTCGTAATGCGAGTTGTGAGGCCCCGCGCGTGCAGACAATTTCACCATGCGCGACTTCTGCTTGTTGAAAATTACCCAAGCCCGACGCAGTTCTTTCAGGAATTCATGTAAAAAATAATGGAGAGTAATCCATGCTGACGCGCCGCATTATAGGTCATGAACAATGTCGGCGCTGTCTCATCGCTTATAAAAGCGGGCCTTCACCATATTCAAAACAGCCTTGCATCCATCTCAGGAAATATGACATAAGTTTATTAGTATATTGTGCATGCATATACACATGGTTACAAATACTGCAAGGCGTCGTGCCATATCACGAACATAAAGCCCGAAGTCGCTCCTTTGTAAAACTGCGTTACCAACGGCACGTGGTACCTACCACCGACAAATGTACATATATATATATATATATATATATATATATATATATATATATATATATATATATACAGGATACAATTCTCGCGAAAATGAAGGCACAAGACTTGCGAACATATCACAGCTATGCAATAGTCCATGATGACCTAAGGCACAGCAATGAACACATTTCAACGCCTGAGCAATTGACTACACATCACTGATGAGCTTTCCCACAGCCAAGGATCAAATCACTTGTAACATATCACTCATATCACACAGATAAATGCACACATGACACATGCGCACACTTCTAAAGCTGGCATCACATACAAAACCGATGGCACAGAAAATTATCACATACAAATGTAGGGGCCTGAGAAACGGGATCATGACGCTACATCCGCAACCATTGAGTGCCTACCTACCGCCGATACATGTAGATAAACAGGAGATAATTATCGGCGTGAATGAAGGCACAAAACTGTACATACAAATGTAGGGGCCTGAGAAACAGGATCATGACGCTACATCCGCAACCATTGAGTGCCTACCTACCGCCGATACATGTAGACAAACACGAGATAATTATCGGCGTGAGTGAAGGCACAAAACTTGAAAACATCACAGGTATGTAAGCAATAGCCCATGATGACCCAGCAATGAACACATTTCAATGCCTGAGCATAGCAATGAACATAGCAATGGACACATTTTAATGCATTAACAAGTTGCTAAATAACACGGAGCTTTCGCACAGCCACAACTGCATGCCAGGTACGAAATCACTCGTCACATGTCACTCATATGATACAAACAAACATACAGGTGGCACATGCACATATTTCTCAAGCTGGCATCACGTAAACAACCGATGACACAGAAAATTATCACCTGCAAATGAAGGGACCTGAGAAAAAGCACCATGAAGCTATGTCTGCGAGTACCGACTGCCCAGGATAGACGGCGTCAATACAGCGTGAGAAATCACGGAGAAATGCCACTGATTAGATGCAAACAAAACACCTGCACAAGAATATACACATATGTACAGCCATACAGAGTAACTGAGGCAACTGAGCTATTCAGAACACCCCTGTGACTTTACGCACAGCCACAACGCACCCATCAGTGGCCCACCGGGCCACCGTCACCGGCCACGGCAACACCATCAGTGTCCTCCTCATCATCTGAGTCCTCGGGAAGGATCTCTGGCCAAACGCCCATCCACACTGTAGGAGGTGCCGGTCTCCATTCTTCCTCTGCATCCTCGACGTCGTCTTCCCAGTCGCTGTCGCTGCCATCTATCCGAGACTTGACGAAGCTCGTTTTTGTCTCATGCTCACTCCAAGGCTCCGGGAAGAGAATGGCCAGCGGAGCGATCGGCTCGTACCGCTCCCCGTCGAATCGGGTGAAGAAGCGTCCCACCTCCTGATGATCGATAGGCTGAGGATCTGGGGCCAGTTGCAGCTCCTCTGCAATGATACATCCACTTCTGTTAGAGGTAGACGGAAGAGGCGCTCTACACAACAATGGGTGCAAGACATATCTCAATTTGCTGTGATTTGTAGACAGCTTAGCAATATTTTTCAACAGCAGCTAGGGGGGTGAGCTGCACTACGTAGCACAATGTCCAGTTTGGCTGTGTTATGTAGAAATATTTGAACTTATGAAATAGCAATGAATGCGAATCAGAGAAGATATCCCAAAATCTGCCAAACAGACATCATCAATAGTCAACTCAACATAGCAACTTCGTGGTGTACATAAAGCTGGTGCAATGCACCCAAACAAAATATGCCGGCGCTCTGCTGACAACTGAAATACTGGTGGGATCTCAGTGTAATGTACTCCGAATCAGTGCACAACATTTATTCGGGGAGCCTGCTCACCTTCAGCCATGTATCCGAAACGGTCACCCTCCATCAGCAAGTTGTAGAAAGGTTGCTTTTCTCCCCGCTGAAGTCCGGAGCAGACGCGACTGTGTGCTATCCAGTCCTGCAAACACCACCGACCCCGAGTCAACACACTGGCTCACACCACGTGGCCGTCGTACGAGATGAGAGCGAGGGGAAACCGTGAGGCTCCGTGTAAATGCTGGTAAAGAACTTTCACGCATCAAGTGACATACGTAGCAAATTGGTACTCTTACATCCCATCATTGATGCACCGATTTCTACTACCCATCAAGCAGGGGTAACACCATGAATGAAAGAATGGCACAAATGCAACATGTCTGTATGAAACAGCAAGAAATATTTGTGATACAGCAAGGGCATGCATTGAAAACGAATTATGTGAAAGGCAGACAGGAAATCACAAAATCATAATTGACCGTATGAGATACATTAAACCCCAACATGCTGAAGACATTCCATATCCCCTCTTTCAAAAAAAAAACATCACTGTTTGTAAAATAAGGACAGCAATAGTCCCACAAATACATATTTACAAGGCATTCAGCGACTGCCTTGCTGTGGAAGAAGTAACAAAACAACAAAAAAGTCAAGTTGACTTCTCAGACTCAGCCACTTAACTAGATCAAATTCTCACAAAACAGTACAAATGGGGTCAGACATGGACTGGCCTGATCCTGTAACTCCATTTAAACCGATCGTACCTGTGAGGCCTCGTAGTATGGTGAGCACCCGTACACCACTGCCAGGCGCTCGTCGCCGTACGTGACGACGTCACCGACGCCGAACTGCCTCGGATAGTCGCCCGCTACTCGGTCCGCCGCGCGGAGGCTCACCTGCAACGCCGATGAAAATACTGACGGCGTTGCAGACAACCTCGGGAGATGACTGAGCGGCATGGTATAACATGATTAGCGCGACACAAAACATAACTGAAAACAAATGAGCTGAGTGACAGTACCGAGCATCAGCCAAACCAGAAACAATAATAAGAAGAAAAAGGGCATCCACAAATCCTTGGAACAAAAAGCTCACACGCGCAAAACGATGTAACATTAGCATATCAGCATCACAATTTCATGCTGATGATGCTTAGACATGGGATTAAACATGTTATACAGCGGCATTTAGCCAGCGGCATTTGTCATTCAGCATTAACGTGCGTTTGCAGACGTACACTTAACTTACCAACATGCATGCATAACATAATATGACACACAGTAACACAACGGAACACCAACTACACCACCCACACGCATACGCACAAGCACGCTTTCGCATTACGTTGGTGAGAAGCTACAGGAGTAACTTCACTCATTGGCAATTTCATCAAATCCAGTTTATTATTATTACCAGTTCCTGGACTTTGGCCTCTTGTTCATCCAGGGAGCGCGCCAGCCGTTTGTACATCCTCTTGAAGTGCTTCATGAGTACTTCCAAGCCACGCCTCTCGTTCTCCGCCAGTAACATGCCGTTAGCCTGGACGAATTGCTGCAGATAGAAGGCAGTGAAAATAAGGTCACATCAGACTCCCTCATTATATCGCCGCGTTTTTTTATGACACATGTTTGGACGCAACGCACAGCCTTCGATTGCGGGCCATGTACGAATTCGATACTTCTGTGAACCAAAGATGAGACCACAAAGTCACCTTCCAGACTTCCATTCACATCTACATCATACACAATCATCAGGCGCATAAAAGCGAACCAGACGTATATTTCCAATAATGGTTGAAAACAACTGCCAAACGCCACGAAAAAAAGGCGCGCGACGCCGCTGTGCTATCGCTACCCACCTCAGCACCGCACGATGAATGGAATCGACAAAGACGATTGGCCGAGGCCGAGGCTTTGTAGAAAATTATAGATAGCACACATGCTGGGTTGTTCAGGTTTAGCATCATTAAACACCACTGACCTGCAGCAGGCGGCGTGTGTACATGGGTCTGGTACGAGCCAGGGCGGACATCAGGTCGTCGAGCGCAGCCATGTCCAGGCGGCAGTCGCTGCGAGCCCAGCAGGCCAGTGTCTCAAACGAGGCCAGGTCGAAGCCAGTTCCTGGCCGGCGGCCATCCGGATGGGTGGCGCCATTGATCAGGCGGCCCAGCAGCTGCCAAAAACAATGCATCACGTGAGACAAAGAGGGACATCATACTGGCACCACAACACACTGAAAAATGTACACACAGCAGGACTTATCACAAGTTGTAGTGGGGCTGATGGTGCTCACATATTCATATAAGAACACAGCACCCCAGACCTCAGACTCTGGTGCTTTCTTTGCAAAGGACCTTTGCAAAAGGCATGCATACAACTACTCGTTAAACAAAACGGCAGATTTTTCAATAAAAAATCCACGTACCCTACATAACAGGGCCTGTTGTCCAAGAATTTGCAACATCAGATGCATCACGTACCCCTGCTCTGGGAAAGGGTTCCAGCATCTGAAGGTCCATGTCCGGATGTACAGCATTCAACTCCTCCAACACCTGCTCTCTGGATAGCTGCATGCCGCGACGGACAACGTCGATGAACAGGTACTCTTCACTGTCCCTGCGTGAGGAGCAGCACGTCAAGACATCGTGCACAATGAACTGCATGCATTTATACATGTGTCACGTAAATTGCAATACATCACTGTACAACAGACAGCTTCAGTCACAAAGAAACAGGCACACAAGAACATTCATAAAAAGGCAAACAAGAAAAGACTACACAAGACAAATACAGTCGGTTCACAATTGTTGCATTTACACAAAATGACAACACATCGTGCATCAATGCGATTGGCTTGATTTAATATGGATGTTACATTTAGAAAATGAATATTCAGTGTTAAGCAAATGATCAATGTCATTACCCACAAATCATCCGTAACACCACGTCATTACTTTGGTTTGCTTCCTCCGTATCGCAGTGACCAATTGCTCCAAAGAATTTGGATCTTTTTAAGGAAAAAAGGTGATGCGCTTACCAGAGCTGATTTCAAGAAACAAATGGCTTTGTTGAAAGACGCAAACATATCAAAATGCACCACCAATAGCGAAAAATGCATCAAATCCTTTGGCATCAAGTGAATACAACAACTGGTGAATACATGCACGCCGTGAAAACAGGACCACCCAAAAAGACGTGACTTGAGCAGCCGAAATCTGTCTATATAGCGTCAATGGTGCCAGAAGACCCATTCCCCATGACCCTTCCGACAATGCTTACGTTTGGTGCCAGCAGATCATCGAGCTATGCGGGAACTGCACGTTGTGGAGGTTGACACCCAGCATGCCAGCTACCGAGGAGTAGACCGTCCCCATTACAGTCTGCGTCCCGGAGCCGGCACAGTGGAGGTGGCGACGAAGGTAGAGCACCTGAAAAAGGAAATAGTAAGCCATTTAATGCATTGTGCTGCAGGCAACAGCAGTAACCTCCACACAACGAGAGCAAACAGCCCATCACACCATTCAGTCACCGAGCCAGCAATAGATTACAAAACGGAAATCACACTTACTGAAATCAAACATCACCTGTTAGTAACGACCACACTGGTGAGCATTTTATCATGACTACCGTGGTCAATCGCCAGTCAACAATTTTCACAGAGACTCTGGCTTCTAGACTGTACAGACATCGCAACAGCGTGCTCGGTGTTAAGCCATCTGAGAGGAGCCTGATAATGTGCCTTACGACGAACCCGCAGAAACGCGTGACCGACAGTATGCTTCGCAATTCACAGCCCTGCATGGAAAACAGTATCAGGAAAACCAGGTCAGAAGGAGAAGCCTCTGTATGTCCTGTGCGTGCTTTCACCTGCTCAAACATCCACGAAACAGTGATGAATACTTAATGCGTTACACTAACCAGTGTGCTCAGCCCGGCAGCCGGTGCGTCCTCCGGCTCTCCATCCTTCATCAGGGCAAGCTGATCATACAGCACGATGTTCAGCACGTCCAGGAGCATCAGTGTCTGGTCATCCGTCCACAGCGTAGGTCCGAACGGGTTCTTTTTGCACGTATCCCAGGCGGCGGCCGGATGTTCCGGGAGCTTCCGACGCAGCTCGTCCAAAACCAGGCCGGCGATCTTGATGTAGCAGCTGTAAAAACCACGCCATGTCAACGCTCGCAAGTACACGTGAAAGGTCGTCTTTGTTCACGGGGGTGGGGTGGGGGGGGGGGGGGAGGATGGAGACGAATGTTGCAAAGCTAAGACTTCATCAAGATGTGAGATAAGTGCCTTGTATACCGTTCCTCTGGCGAGAACGACGATCACATTGGTATACTAATTTTGACCTAGCTATTTGTTACACCATGCGTCAAGTTCTGTTGATGTCCCTGTAATAAAAGCACAGCGCAGTGCGGCATATGGGTGGAGAGCGACAACATTGAAAAAGCCATAACCGTACGTAACAAACGCCTACAGTCAGCTATTATCGGCACAAATAGACACAGAAAGGGGATGTGAGATTGGTTGCATACTTGTGCCCATCAGGACGAACTCCATATACATTAGGAACACAGTCCAGCTGGCAGAACGTGTTCGCGCCAAACCTTGAACTTCCGCATGCAGATCGAGTATTTGCTAAGGAGATGAGAGACTCACGTCTTAAGACTGGACTCTCGGTTGTTGGTTTGCTCCGGGACCATCCAGAGGCTCATCAGATAAAAGGCTTCGGGCACGTTCACATGCTGCGCTGGGCGCTGCATGTACTCCCGGAACATGGGCAGCAGCACGACGTCTCGCTGGATCTCGCGGAACAGCATCCGCGCATAGTAGCGCAGAGACAGGTCATCATCCCTGCCAAAAAAGGCTCGAATTACACACATGCCTAACACAGCAACTGTCCACTGCGCAGACCAGTTGTGATGTCGGAGGCTTACATATAAGTCAATGAGTAAAATTTCTCGAGCGAATAGTCTGGTTCGGTCTGCAGATTACTTAGGTGATAACAGAGTATATGAAAAGAGCATGAAGGTAGTGGCGGGGAATAAACCAAGGTACTGGGCCGAGCAGCCTGATACGAACAATGCCGGCAAGCTGTTGGGATGCGATAACAGAAGGTAAGCCTAGAGGAAGACAGGGTAGTGACACTGGAGTGAGCAACTGATCCAGTTTTGGTTCTGTCCCACAAAATGTCAGGGATAAGATTGTCATTCCAAACTAAGAGGAAAGCGGGACAGAGCGACAAGAGAAACTAGCACGCTCCTTGAGAAATGGCCACCGTTGTTGAATATGGCCCAACTGTCAGAAGTATGAGAAGCTCCGTAGTTTAAGACCAAAAAATTAGAACAATGAATACTTCAGACTCTGGATAAGGGCACGTGAAGGATTATGCAAAGTACATAACACGTGCAGTGCCTATGTGACTAAGAATTTATGGTTGACAAATTGCATTCAGCTGAACAAACTGCATGACACCAGACCACCTGGACAATGTGATCCAACTTACGGGCAGTGTTGGCGGGGATAGATGACCTCCAGTAGCGCATCCCGATAAAACAGGGTACCATGGACGGGCACCAGCTTGCGGAACTCCTCCATAGCGGGGTCCGGCAGGTAGTCGACTGAGTAGCATCTGTCGGCCATCTTGGCTAGAGCCGTGCGCAGGTGGTGGCCAGCCGAGGCGCGGAACCTCGCAGTACGCCGCCAGCTGCGGCCGCACCGCTCAAACACGCGCAGCAGGGCAGGTCGGCACGAGGGCTGCAACAAGCGCGGGTACCTGCGAAACAAGAACACAATGTCACGACTGACGCAAATCGGCACGATGGGAGGTCTCTTGGGTGGAAGACGTGCCTAAATATGCTTAACTCAGAAATCTTGGTCGAAACATTCAGCACAACGAGGGTGATTCAATCAATGACATCTTCAGTCCGCATAAGAAACAAACGTGACACACACACCACCAAATATTACTCCAATTACCGCCAACCACCTGTTTGTTCGCCATCGAGCACTCTGAGAATATGTGAAAACTCAGGAACCTGACAAGGCCGGACATTGCGAAAGATTGTAATTTTGAAACGTACTGAGTGGTACGCAAGCATGCATGCAACAGGTTGAAATCCGGCTAGCCAAGCAATGCTAATGTTACTTCTCCATAATATTGGTTGTTTCAGCCAGGGGTAGTCCAGCATTAGTCATCTAGATCACTCGACAGGGCGCCTCACAAGAAGTCAAATAGGTCACGTGTTTCGTCTTTGCGACTACAGGGACGATGTATGTGGAGCCCTCATCTCCCCACCAATCATCACTGCAACTCATTATTAGCGAGATGATCAACATTTTGATTTGTTTCCACTTGGATAAGGCTGAATAAAGTAGACGCACATAAATCAACAGTTGTTTGAAGCATAGGAACTCCACTTTGGGTCGTGATGTGAAAAAGGTGGGCAATTTTTTATGAGTTTCAATAATGATACCCAATAAAACTGAGTTTTTTGTAGTGCAGCTCTCCACTACTGGTGTCATGCATCAGTTTCTTTATGATGTGCCTTTGATACAAGACCAATGCTAAGTTTGTTAAATATGCTGATATCCATTTGAGAGATGGAAATAAAGGATTGGTGGAAAATTCTGTGGATCAACAAAATGGAGATCAAATAACAACTGTTGGTTGTCCATGAACCACTGACCTAGAGCACCTCAGTTCTTTGCATTTACCACCATAAAGTACATCACTATATGGTTTACAAGATGCTATACTGCCATCATTGAATTAGTGAACAGCTGACTCTTTTCTGGTACTAGCCTCTGTCTCCTGCAGCACTGGTTTGTGAACATTATTTAAACTAGCTTGCATAAAATGTCCCAGGGCATGGTTTGGCGCTACAATAAATTAGAAGAACACCTCACATCCCTTAGTCAAGATTTCAGAGCAACAAATCACATTTATCAACACCTTGCATGACCTGAACATGGTTGAATGGAAAAGACAGCATAAGAGCCTTATAGAACACAGTAGCAGTGACAAGCCACTAACAAATTTATTAGGTAGAGCATCATTTACCAAAGCCATAACCAACATTCTTTATGCTCTGTTCAAAATGTCATACCTGGTACTGGCACTGGTTGTGTAAAGTTCAGGTTTTGCTTATTGAAGTAATTTAGCACAAAATGTATTTGCATCAAAAATTATCAGGAAACCCTTCCCATCTAAGCATAACATGACACTGCCAGGTAAAATTCAACAAAAGATGCTCCAAATGAAGTTCATGAGGATGATTTGCAATGAAAGCTTTGATCAGCTGTCTGTCCTTCTTTGTCATTTGATAAATGGACTTTACCACATACTTATCAGCTGCATTGTATTTCCAGACACCAAATTCAAAATATGCACAGCTCTTAACAAACAGTATGTGCTACAGCCAAATTTCATGCTGTATGTGAGCTTTGCAGTTAGTAAGGGCAAAACATATTTCTCCCTGATATTATCATTTGCTTTCAGGAAATCATCATCCCAGTCCAACACTATAGGTATTGATGGGTCATGTGAAGAATAACATATTATAGATGAGACTTTAGATCACTTTGATTGGCCTATGGCCTGGTATTCAATTTCTTCTCAAATGGCCCAGCACTCTCCAGAAACAACTTAGAAATCAGTGCACAGCAGAAGTACAAAAAAGGTATGAAAGTTAACACACATTTATCAGTAGACGCATCACATCACCAGTCAGCTGAGCGCAATGAGGATACTCTTTGCAACTGCAGGCTGAATTACTACAGTAGTTGGCACTGTCTAGGCTGGAAATATGCATCCATGGGCACATACAGAAATCTCAAATATATGTACATATACAGAATTTGTCTGACTGCATTCCATCTTGCAATAATTTTTTGTAAGCTGTAGCAAAAGACTGGGAGTTTACAGCAAGCAGCAAAATTCACATTTTCAGCAATCTGACAACTTAAGAGTAGAAACTCACCTGGACTTAAATCCAAATCTCCATACTTTCTCTGAAGTATGGACATCATTAAGCCTCTTGCTCACTTGTGACACAGAAGCAAGATCTTCTACGCTCAGGAAACACAAGATATGTTCCAAAATTTCCGTTGGCAGGGAAAGCAGAGATGTCTCCGCATTCTGCTCTCCACTGAGCCAATGCATCACTTTCTTCTCATTCGAAAACTCCGTAGCATCCATCAGCAGCGTTCAACAACCACGTGCGCCGTCTCAAATATCGAGAGTAGATTACAAGCACAGCAAATTCAGCTTCGCATGGATGAGAACACACACGAGTCGGAGCGCCGGAATGGAAGCGGAAGTCAAATGCGGCGGTTGACGGTTCGCGAACTGCTGTGCGTTGCGGGCGAGGCCGTTCAAACCTTCCAATGAGAAGGGGGGATTTGAAACTAGTGCTGTGTAGCCGAACCGGATGCAAATGCTCGTGAGCGCCGTAACATCAGTGAAAGTCGCATTTCTTAGTTAGGACAAAGAGGGAGAAAATATTGCAGCCAGGGATGTCACTTATTATATACTTTTGGAATGCCCGAGGCAACTAATATTGACATGACCCCCATCTCTCCTCACAATACTCCTCTCAGCCTTGGAATTCCAAAGAGCAAAGAGGAATACTTGGTCAAATACAAATAAACAGCTATCTTGTCTAATTGGTGCATGTTGCAGTTCCCTAAACGCATCACTATTACGATCATATATATCCTACACCACTCATCTTCGTCTGGGTACCTAATGTCTTGCTAACCACTTCGTATTTTGAGCCACCCGGCAAATGTTTGACAAGTTTTTGAAATAATACCGTTGGGGTTTTGATCAAGAACAGCTATCTCCAAAAGGTGGTAGCTTTGAAAATCGCAAGTGGCCTTACTAAAAGCTAAGGCTGCGCGTATACGCCCTCCAAAACGGAGGGCGGTTACGCACCGGGCTTATACACCCTCCAAAAGTCTTTCAGATGGTTGTGCATGTCAAGCATACGCGGATTACCAGCCTTAGAGGGAAGCAAGTGCAATTACGCAGAATCCCGTGCGAAAGGTCGGCTCTATGCGTGATAGGCATCAAACGATCACAAAATCCATCAACTTACTCTGAACCAGTCCTATTCTGAACAAATTTTCGGCCACCGGGCCCGCATCTCCAAGTGATGGATGGTTGGCATGCTGGTCTCGCACGCCGTAAGCTCAGGTTCGAATCTCGGCGACCGCCGCTGTTAAGTGGGTGGCTTCATGGTCTATCGGTGTGGCATGATGATGCCAACTCGCTTCACTTCTAAGCGGAATGAATTCTACTTTGGGATTTTCATACCGGGCAGCAGCGTAGTTTCTAATGCCAGAGGGAGGACTAAAGATAAAGAGGACTCCGTCCCTCTAGGAGGAGGGAGTCCACACCGTACAGAGGTATTGAAGATCCCGTGAAGGTCGACCGTAAATCTAAATGAGGCCAGCAACTTGTGTAAACATTGATTGAAAATGTGTTATGTGTAAACATTATGTGTAATGTGATGTGTAAAATGTGTAAACATTAGCGAAAAGTTAGGTGCACACGACCCTTCCGGGCAATTGCTTAAAGATCTCGATCTCGATCGACTCAGGACTCCTTCCGTCACAGGACCTCCTGTTGGACACTCTGGGGGCCTGACCGCCAAAAGACCACTCATTGTTGTAGGGACTCCGACCAATGCAAATCGCGGGCCTCGGTCTCGTTCCTGCTAGAGAAATGGGGCCCCAGGGCTCAGAACAAGACAGAGTCAGCTATTCGGTGTAGTGGTCTCCGGCCGAGATAGGTGCCCGCACTGTCCTAGGGGTCCACAATCGGCGAAAGAGGCATACTGGCTGACATCTGGGATCACAGCCATACGGGCCAGGATGACCTGCGGCCTTTCGACCCTTACGGTCATTCAGCATTCCCCTCGGCCCGTTTATCGTCAGTCTTGAAGGGCACATCAGTCCCTCTTCAGGCAACCCCGTACACTCCCTGACCAACTCGGGGGGGGGGGGGGGCCTTTTCAACACCGGTCCTCCGGTTAGGCGCTGTGTGCCCCTGGCCAACACAGGGGCCCCTCATTGGCTCGGGGTGCACTGACCAATGTTGTTGTTGATTGGCGTTTTCGGGCGCGTCGACTGCAATGGTCATTTTGCGCCCAACTGACCAGTGCAAACCGCGGGTCACGACCTTGTCCCTGCTTGGGAAATGTGCTTCCAGGCCCAGGCCGGGGCCTAATCGGTGCAACGGGCCCTCTGGCTGGTATTTGAGGGTCCGACCCGCGCCCCCTCAATTACCTTTAGCCAGCCCTTCGGGTCCCATATCGGATTTACGGTGCTCCCATTTGAGATTTCGTCGCGATCACCTGAGTGACACTTCAGGCTTAGGATCAATCACTTTCTCCCCACAACAGTCCGACATCAAGGGCAAAACTGAGTTCGAGGGGGGGGAGGGGAAGTGGAAAATAACAAAAGCATCCCTCCAAAAAAAGCACGGTATCAAGCAGGGGCGAATCCAGAAAGGGGGACCACGGGGCATGCCCCCCCCCCTTGGGCCCCAAAGGGGCTCATTGGCTCCGGGGGGCCCATAACTGGCCGAACAGGTGCAGTTTTTTCACACAAAACACAACAAAACTGGGCATCTCTTGACTTTCAGGCCACCAATAACAGTTGTAAGCGAAAGTGAAGTGCCCATGAGGAGTCAAAAAATTACTCCATGATTGGAGAAGTTGTGAACTGAAAATTTCAAGTTCCATTACACCGTCTAGAACCTAATGCTGTTTCCGGGGGACCTACATGCCCCTTGGAGGTTTATTTCGGTCGTTTAGGAGCATTTCACGTTGTCCTTCATTTCTTTGCATTTGCTCAGAGGGCCCTGCGCTGTTGTTAGGGCCTTTCCTGTTAGCGTGCCGGAGAACTCTTGTCAATCACGGACTCTTCCACGGATTATTTCCATTCGCCAGACAGGCTCTGTGAGCGGTAGCCAGAGTCCCATACCTTAACCTGCCGGGGTATTCTCGGTTGCTCAGGGGCCCCTTACGTGGGTGTCGGTTGATCTACCGACACACCTGTTATTCATTGTTGTATCACTGTTGCTTGACGCTTGCTACACGATGTCTGCTTAATTGAAATGGTTTACATGTAAAAATGATGCGTGATGCTAGATGCCTGTTTATTTGAAATGACGTGCGGAAGTATATGATGTGTTATGCGTGAGGCCTGTTAACTTGAATTCATTTGCATATACACGTATTTTTCGCGTATTTTAATTCTCAGTTAGATGTGCACCGTATCGAGAATAACTGGCAATTGCTCCTTGTTTAATCCCCTGCATGTTGGTGGTCTGTAAAAACTGTGGCTAGCTGTTTCTAAGGAAAAAATTGACACGTCGAGTAGAATCGGCAGAAAAATTTGAATTTGCTACCGTTATTCCTTTCGATAAACGCATGTAGCCGAAATATCACGCCTTTCTCTTCATTTTCCTCTTTGTTCTTTGAGGAATTAAGCTATTAATGCTGTATTATCTATATGCATAATGTTCCTCACAAATGCACTTTACAATTTGCGAAGCGTTGCCATCACGTCGATAATGATGGCAGCATGCCCTCTACATAACAGTTTAAATATAATGTAGAGATTCTCTCCGGTCACTAAAATCAGTCTAGACCAAAGTCATGCAATAACGCCAGGTCGACTTCAGTCACAACTGCGTTGGGAGCTATGGCTAAATGCCTATCCTGTAAATGAATCGTGTGCAGGGTTGATGTGTAGTCGTGTATGCAACACCTGCAACGGGAGGAGCGTTCATTGCAGTTGTCGAAGGGCGGGACCGCCAGCATCGTCTCGCTTGCATAGGGTTGTGTCGCCGCAGACTCGCCCTGCGGCCTTCTCTGTTGCCGGCGCAGCATCACATGCCAGCTGCCGTCAGCGAGCACAAAGCCCGCCCCGTACCCACCCGCGAACAAAAAACAAACTCGAATTCAGTTAGTGGCCTTAGCCGGGGAACTCCGTTGAAATCGCCGGCCGCGACAGGGTCCGATGCCTGCCAGTGACATACGCGATTTCAAACAGCAAAACCAAGGTGATGCAGATGACTTTGTGGACTGAAACATATATCAATTTGGTGTTTGGGAATTGCCCTGTCACCTACGTCACCTTTTTTCCTCTTTCCTCTCCTTCTCCTCACATTTCCATCCACTTCCCCTAATCCTTGAGTTCCCCCCAGCCGAACTCGCCGAATGCGCATCAGCCTTAGGCCGGTTCTCTAGTCCTTACTTAGCTGTCCACTCCAGAGGTAGGGTTATGTTGCATCAAGTTGAGAAGCGGTCCACCGGCGTGCGCAGGGCTTGGCGAGATGTTTTCATTTCATGTCAGTGATGTTCATGTGGGGGAAAGCGGGGCAAGACGGACACATTAACGGTTTTTTAATATGGGAAGTTCATAAGTCTGTCCAGAAAGTTTTTAGCAGGCGGATATTGAAGGCTGATCAATTGTCTATCTCTTAAAGAAGCGCTGGTTTGTTATCTCTTTATGTTAAAATGTGATCCTCCGTAATATCAGGCAATGTTTTTTCCTCATTTTGTCCCGGGCTTGGGGCAAAACGAAGCAGTACTCGGGGCAAAACGGACAAGTAATGAGATTGAATAAGCGAAATCAGTATTTTCAGTCATCATTTTTTAATGAAAACGCATCAATAAATGCATTGCTCGGTGAGTAGGTATTTATCTGTGCACCCAATAGCTATATTTCTTATGTTTGGGCTCTCATATTTTGTTCGAACCATCCCACTCCATACTCGTCTCCTCAGTATGATCCCACGAATAAAAGTTATAATGGCCAGCAAATGTGTATTACAGCTTCGAATGAAGCGACAGCCATTGCTGCATGGCTTAGACACAGAACTAGATTAACACAGCCTGGTCGTTACACAATGAGACGACGACGATCGAGTCTCAAACACACAAGTCATCAAGCAAAGTTCGCTCAGGAACACTCACTCGTTCTTCTCATCAATCCACTTCTTAGTCACTGTGAACGCAAAACACGAAAAGAGCACGGCCTGGTGGACCCGTCAGCAGGTACGACCAATGGCAAAACTAGACAAGACATCAGCCTGCCTAGTCATCCCGGCACAGTTCGCACACGAACACGCACTCGTCCTCTTTATCGATCCCTGCACAGGCATCGTGCGCCCATTTATCGCAGAAAGCACATCGCGACCAAGACTCGCTCGATTTGGACATGGAGAAGAAGAACCCGCAGTACAGACAACCTAGATCTTCTTCGTCCGAGATCTCCTCAA